CGTGGGCTTGTCATGAAAGTGGCTTGCGTTGTCGATCCTTAAAAGAAAAAGAAAAAAAAATTCAATCGATGGATCGATCAATCAAGAGTTTTTCAAAGAAATAACAATTTGTCTTGTGGATGAACAATTATAATAAACCGTATCTTTTATATAAATCGATATAAGTATATTTTCTCTAGAAAATCATCCTGCATTATTTAACCATAATGCCACACCAATTGATGGACTAATTATTCCTGAGACCTTCCAATTAGTACTTGAGACGGGATCTCTTGCTGATTGGTTTGATGGATGATGGGTGTAAGCATGGACAGGACTGATTTATAATGCATATTTACTTTTAAAAAAAAAACAACAGTCAAGTCACTTTTTCCAACAACTTTTGCGGATTATTTACCGTGCATGGTTTTGACTGTAATATTTTTCTCGAGGATGTCAGCTATTACCATAAATGTTATGATGTGAACTCAGTTAAAGTGTTTTTGATGATGTATCACAGAAAAAATCTTGGAGTTTTAAAAAGAATGCGGCCTACATACGAGATTTAGACTATTTGGTTAGGGTTTTTAAATGCGTTCTCCATATATCTTGTTGTATATACCTTTAAAAATTGTATCATCCTTATGTTCTATCTTTTATTTAGACTGTTCAGGTGGCCTATTGGTTACAGCGTCCGCTTTGGATGCGGGAGGTCGTGAGTTATATCCCCGGCCGAGTCATACCAAAGACTTATAATAATGTTACTAACAGCTGCCTCGCTAGGCGCTAAGCATTAAGAGGTCAGTGGTAGGACTGGTCGGCTTGGTGTCAGGATAACGTGACATGATGGGACACCGTGCTACTTGTCCACGTGATGTCCCATTGCTCGACATCACTATAAACTGCCACACTACAAACATCGTAGCGATATGACTGAGAAATTGTTAAAGCTACGTTAAAAATCTAAAACACACACACACACACAATCTTTTATTTCGCGGGATAACACGCTTTCATTTATTTGGAAGGATTAATCATCCATTTTTATGAGGAAGGAGCAATAGTTTTATCCCTGAATTTTTCAACTCTATTTTTTTAATCTACACTATGTAGCCAGTATTGTTTTCGCGTGCCTTTTAACCACATACATACATACATACATACATACATACATACATACATACATACATACATGCATGCATGCATGCATGCATGCATGCATGCATGCATGCATGCATGCATGCATGCATGCATACATACATACATACATACATACATACATACATACATACATACATACATACATACATACATACATACATACATACAGACAGACAGACAGACAGACATACATACATACATACATACATACATACATACATACATACAGACAGACAGACAGACAGACATACATACATACATACATACATACATACATACATACATACATACATACATACATACATACATACATACATGAAATATGTATAAGTTTGTTAATATTAATGTAATTTCATTCTGTGTTTGAAATGATTAAATATTTAGATTTTAGAATCATTTACATAAAAAAAGTTATTTTATCATTAAAATTAATAAAAATGTAATTATATCATAGCATTAATCACTTTGGATTGAAGGTGAACCAGCAAGAAAGCTAACAAATTTTACGAGCATATTTTCTTTGCAGGTTATCAGCATGCTTGGATTGTTTTGTCCTCGTAAACATAAACGTCATTTTAGCGTGGAATTGACATACTAGTATTTTAAATAATAAATTGAACGTCATTTTAGCGTGGAATTGTCATACTTGTATTTTAAATAATAAATTGAACTTCTAGTTCTCTTGGTTTCAATAAACATTAAAGGCTCGACTGATTTTAATTTTAATTTTCATTTTCTTTCTAAAAACTCACCATTTCAGTTACCTATCCGTCTGTATTTTAAATAATCAGTCAGTGAATCTCTCTCTCTCTCTCTCTCTCTCTCTCTCTCTCTCTCTCTCTCTCTCTCTCTCTCTCTCTCTCTCTCTCTCTCTCTCTCTCTCTCTCAATACCTATCTGCAATTTTGTATTTTTTAATGTTTCAATAATTATAATGAAAATCTTTCTTTCTTTCTTTCTTTCTTTCTTTCTTTCTTTCTTTCTTTCTTTCTTTCTTTCTTTCTTTCTTTCTTTCTTTCTTTCTTTCTTTCTTTTTCCACAATATTATCTATCGTTCACATTTGCCCACATTACTAAGTCGATCTTGTGTTGTATTTATTTGTGATTCAGTCAATAAAAAAAATCAAGCTCTGAATCCATTTATAAGTTTCTATTAATCGTATTAGTTACACAACTAAAATAAATAATTAGGTGAATAAATATGTAGCCGAATAAATAATTAATTAGTAAAAGGGCTTTATGATATGCTAAAACATCTAACCAGCAAGACATATTGGAAACATAAATCTATCATGGGTATTTCAAAACATTTGCGGGTCTTTTAGAAATGTCCGAAATTGTGAAGACTCTGTCATATTTTATGTTCATTGCAACGATAAATCTTTGTATATTTTCAAAAGGAAAATAAAAATCTGCTGGCGAAAAGCGCTGAAACAACCTTTTCTCTCTGAAACATAAAATCTCCTGCTTTCAACACTTTTTCCAAAGTGTCACTGAGCACGTTGTAATTTCAATGAATTTTATTATAATAAATAATTATTATCAAATTATATTAGAGCACGGCAGTAAATGATTCCAAAGACTGGATGTAAGATAGAAATAACGACCTTGTTTAGCAGTATCTGAAAAAGAAGTGAACAATTCCAGAATAATATCAATACGTATGCTTCTAGAACATACCAAACAAGTTAGGCTTTGACCACAATTTCTGGTAAGTATCTTTTTTAATATATGACAATGAGCAGGAAGACCAAAACTCTACCCTCAACCGTGGTCAAGGGTCAAGCACACAATATTGATATATACTACTTGTATAAATGTTACTGGAGAAATACGATCAAGTTATCCGGTGAACTGAGCATCTCTCTCTCTCTCTCTCTCTCTCTCTCTCTCTCTCTCTCTCTCTCTCTCTCTCTCTCTCTCTCTCTCTCTCTCTCTCTCTCTCTCTCTCTCTCTCTCTCTCTCTCTCTCTCTCTCAGTATGGGGCCCCGAGTGGTCTAAAGCGCTGTCCGTTACGGATCACTGCCATCTCACCTCTGTCTGCGTGGGTTCGAGTCTAGGATTCGGCGAATGTGGATATGTGAGAGAGCTTGCCAGTAGCTTCTCGTGGGTCGGTGGTTCTTAACGGTGATCTTCCTCCACCATTAATACTGGCCGCCATGAATAGCCTATCGTGTGCTGAAATATGGCGTTAAGCCCAACAACAACAACAACAACTCTCTCCAGTATTATAGTATTATTATAGTATTATCTGTTAATACAATCCGCACGGTTTTCTTTAATATCATTTATAAATATGACCGCCTTGGATTTAGAAAACTATGATATACTTAGATAAATGCGATGTGTGGCATTACCCCTGATGAAATATATTTAGGGCAAAAATTCAGGCATTGTACCCGTTGTCGCTAGCAAAATCTAAAAACAGGCAATCCCAAAACGTTTGACATCATGAGTCTTCATACTTTCAAGTTCATCGGCATGTGTATAAACGTGTGTATTTATAGATATGCGTAAACATACGTAAGCATACGGCTTAGGGTTTAGTTATAAACTAAATCTAATTTAATTTTGTTTAGCCCTAAATGCCAATCGGTATTTTTGCGTTTCACATCCAGACAATTCACACACGAACATCCAAAGATTTCTCCTCCACCAGGAAAAGAAAAACTAGCTGGAGCCTTAAAATGAGATGCAAAATACACTGAATACACTAGTAGGCTATTGAGGTACAAGGATGGATAAAGGTGAAAAAGCGTGACATTCACATCATGTACACCATGACAGAAGTCACGTGGTCCTTTTACATTTATAACTGCAGGTTTTAAAAAAAATCTGCGCGCAAGCAAGGAGATATATATAGAACTATGACGCCGGTAATTTCCAGAATTCAGCTTTAATACATGGAATTTTAGGTTCAAACATATCCAGATAGAGACCGCAATCGATTAATAATAATAATGTCATTAGATAAAAATAAACAAACTAACCTAAAAATATAAATACTGGAAATTACCGGCGTCATGCAATACCTTGCTTGCTCAGAGATTTTTCTTTTATAGTACATTATAGATACGTATGAGGAGACCCAGTTTTTATGTAAATAGCAGTTTATTCCAAAATAGATGACATTAATTTGTCAGAAAGCATATTAAAATTCTAAAAGGACTGTGTGAATGTGGTCGGGGTGGACATGCATACATACGAGTGCTCACAAGTTTTTCTTTCTTTATCCATTTATCACTCGAAACACTCCCTGTCTTCTGCAAGTGTATTTAGTGTACATTATATCTCATTTATAGGCTCATAGCCAGTTATTGTGGGTGGCGATGAGATGTGTGTGTGTGTGCGTGTGCGTGTGTGTGTGTGCGTGTGCGTGTTTGTGTGTGTTTGTGTGTGATTTGAAGTTTTAAAAGTAGCTTGAAAAATTTTCTTTCATATCGCTAGAATTTCTGAAGCACTGTGGCGTCACGCCACAGACTTATAACATGTTCCAACCAGTCACATTATCCTGACAGTCCTAAAACTAACGAGAGAGAGAGAGAGAGAGAGAGAGAGAGAGAGAGAGAGAGAGAGAGAGAGAGAGAGAGAGAGAGAGAGAGAGAGAGAGAGAGAGAGAGAGAGAGAGAGAGAGAGAGAGAGATTTGTGACAGCTTTAACAATTTTTTTAGTCATATCGCAACGATGTGTGCAGTGTGGCAGTTTATAGTGATGTTTAGCACTGGGACAACATGCAGCAGACATCTAGCATGATGTACCACCCAGTCACATTTTTCTGACACAAGGTCGACCAGTCCTAACACTAACCTCTTAATGGTGAGCGCCAAGCGAGGCAGCTGTTAGTACAATTTTTGAAAGTCATTGATATGACTCGGCTGTGGTTCGAATCCGCGACCTCCCGCATCCGAGGCGGACGCTCTACCAGTAAGCCATTATCAGAGAGGTCAAGAGAGAGGTCAAGAGAGAGGTCAAGAGAGAGGTCAAGAAAGAGGTCAAGAGAGAGAGAGAGAGAGAGAGAGAGAGAGAGAGAGAGAGAGAGAGAGAGAGAGAGAGATATTCATTGACTGCTTGCTTGAAAAACTCACAGACGGATATCTATTTGAAATTGTGAGTTATTAAAAAGAAAAAAAAAAGAAAAATTTAAATCGTGCACATTCATCATAAAAAAAGTGGTGGATGAATAACATGAATACAGGTGTCGAAACACATAATTATGATCCAAGAGGGAGACTCTCACTACAACCATTACGACCAGCAGACTTCGCCAAATTATGGTATTGACTTGCCTCGGAACACTACAATACGACCCTATGCACATGACCGTTTCTTCATTACAACCGCTCGCTCCTGTTGCACTTGTCCGACAGCTATCTACAGACTAAACGCCGTAACTCCTAACACCATTAGACTTCACTCCGCCCGACTATGCTACATCAACTCCAGAAGCGACTGCGCCGCCATGTCCCAAAGAGAAAACCCAGATTCGAACAACTCCTTCACTCATGTTAGAAACTACAGCAACCAGAAATATCACAACGGAACGAATATGATTGCAACTATGAGAGGATCGCAACATAAAATGCATACATCGCCTATGAGAATTCTTTTTGCAGTAACACCTGAGACTACGACATTCCGAATGCATACAGTGCTAAGTCCAGCTCCAAATTTGACCTAACTACAACCCAAACTGAATTGCAGCGACATCTACGCTCTCCTCAGATCAGTGACAACAGCATTAACAGTCTCCTTCCGAGTGAAAGTGACTTTAACATTTTGAACTCTTTCGGTATTAGAGGCAATAGATGTATTGTTTGCTATTAATTCATATCAAGAATATTTCTTCATTGTGGTATATCACACAAAGGTATGATTTTTCTATCTCTTATTTTGATTTTTTTCAAAACGACAAATTGAAAGTTAGTGCGTATATTTCAAACGATTAACAACACTAATCTAAATTATGCTATATTTCATTTTTTATTGAGTAAATAACTTCGTTGTACTTACTGTCATTAACATACGTCAGAGTCGCTAAGATTTCTACTACAGAGAGTGTGAATGAATCTTTAAGTTCATTTCTTGCCCTAAGCATTTAGATCAAACATCAAACCTACTCGTCTTGACACCTCTAACTACATTATACATGTTTCGCTACTATCACACATAATAGATCGTACCGTATTTACCTATCTTAAGGACCATTGTACTTTCCGCTATGCCGTTTCAAACATTGATGCAGAAGTTGTTTGTTTTGTTAGCTCAATGGTGTTCGATAATGTTATTGAGAATTTCTCTTACGTGTTCATATGAAATCATATGAATGTATACCATACTGTATACTATATGGTATTGTCTTGGCAAAACGCCAAATGTACGGTTCTAATGTCTTCAAACCAGTCAGAAGAGAGTTTCCTTCTATGGTTTTGCAGCATCAAATGATGTTGTAGTGTTATTATGTACGTTTTCTATAGCTAAAGTGTCTGAGCGATTGCGCAACACAGAGTTTTGTAAGCAGCTAATGGCCTGCATATTGAATTTTTGCAGCAGAGAGATTGCTCTGCATATTGAGTTTTTGAATGCATATTGCATTTTGAGCAGCTATTGCCCTGCATAAGATCAACTTCTGAGTAAAGTTGTTTGAAACGATAACGGTCTACATTCCCTTTCGTACGTCATAGGTAATGTCGGTAATACACGCTCAGTTTTACAATTTTAATGATGCACTAAATCAGTCGATTCAGTTTTACGATTTTAATGATATTTTCACTTACTGCTCATAGGTTCGATTAAATGCAATTTCATAAACACACAGGTCAAGGTTTGATTGCAAATTAACAGACGTTATGGTTATTAGAGTAGGATTAACATAACACTAACATTTTCACCTTCATTACTCTTGATTAATACCAAATTCTTGCAAGATTCTGTAAGCAAACATTCTTACCTCAATGTAGCTGGTATTGAATGATATATTGTATGCAATAAGAAGAAAAATTCAATATTGGTTTACAAGTACTATCCATAATAATGAGAGTTCTTTTCACAACACTTCGCTGAAGCAAATTAATAACCGTAGTCACTGATAAATATGTTATGCTGATGTTATGCAAAGTAAAAAATAAATAAATAAAAAAGTACCAAAAAAAGAGTAAAATAATATAAAAAAATAAAGAAACCAAGAACTACAAGCTGATATTAACTTTTTATACTCGTCTTACAGGACTAGTATTAGCATAGATTATATACACCTACAAATCGCACACAATCGAATACACGTCGTACACGACTAGGTCGAATATTTCGTAATTAAATTCAATACGAAATTCAGAAGAAAATTTGTTTGTCAATAGGAGAAATAATTATAGTCCTATCCTCCATTCCATTCTTTCTTCATACCTTCTATCTCGTTTCTTCTTTCTGGATCCAAACCTCTCAACCTCTTTCTTTTTCTTTAAGGTATGGATGGAATATGGATTTGGTTCGTAGGATTGTATTCTTTTTTTAACTCTGAATTCAGTATCCGCAGTAACAGAACAAAAACAATTTACTCTAAAGGTTATCTCTAGCCACTCCCACTATTTTATGATTCAACCGATAAGTAGATTCGCACTTTCAAATCAGGCTTTTAAGGAATTATTCAGTCGAATTTATCGAATATTGACACAGGGATGTCAACAGTAGCTACATAAATGATATTCTTTCACACTTAAAGTCAATACGAATTACAATGAATATGCAGTTTAATATAATAATCTCACTAATGAATTAGTTATTTCAGAAAGGTGTTTTGCATTCTTCAAATGTATCATGAGAGAAGGTTGCCCTTAATTGATAAAATAGGTAAATATCTATTTGGAATGCTGACAATGAAAACATCACAACATTTAGCAAGATATACAAATATGCTAAAGCAACAGAATAATTAAATTTGAATTTTTGTTGTTATTGCTCGATATGGAGATGATTTCTGCTCCTATACCTGACAAGTTGATAATAGAATTAGAACATGTTAACAGCGATTGGTCCAAACTCAAAACGCTTATACTATTAGAGCAAGCGATGCTTGCCATTGTCGAAAGATTCGTGAAGAATATTAGAAAAAAAGAAGAAAGGATTGCAGCTCAAACGGTTGAGACTCAGCAAATTAGTCCTACACCGAAATTTTCAGCAGGCGAGTTCACCTGCTATACTGATTTCACAGCATGTTTTAATGGAATTTATAGATCAAATCGAACGATCGCATCTATCAATTACATATGTTATTCAAGAACGCCGAAGGATCCACATTACTGTTTATGATACTTATAGCAACAGGTAAAGATCATGACCTATATACTGCGCTGCATACCCCAGTTGTCCAGATGACATTCAAGATGTATCAATCAATACTAGTTTTAATGAAAGCATAACGAATAAACATTATACAGTTACTTGGTTTACAAGAGATCATACAGCATTATGCCACGCATTTTAGATATCTTCATAAATTATACTATTAGTTGCCTCATGTATGAAATAATATATTGGGAAGTCATAATTCACATCCTATTAATAAGGACTATCAATTCAATATTATGAACACACCGTTCTAGTCAGCGCTTGATCCTAGGTTAATGACACCTGACGGAAATATAATTGTTCAGATAAATTAACATAAGTTACTGACTTCACCGATTAACCTATCTCTTACACAGCAATTTTAATTATGTTCTACTGACGTTATTTAAAATCAAATGGAAATAATAATAAAATAATAACAAAAAGAGTAAACTAACGTATAAAAAAGATATAAAAAAAACAAGAACTGCATGCTGATATTAAATCATCTAACGTAACTAAGTGTAAAGTAGATCATGTAGAATTTAAAACAAAAACATAAATAATACTATAAAAAACATAATTTTTTTGCATTACAGATTCTAACTATATTTTCTTTTTTTCTGATGTCGTGCCTGACAATATTTTTTATTGTAATTTTCAATTATACATTTATATTATAATCTTGAATTCATTGAATGTTGTAGAATGTTTTTTTCAATGTATTATCGAATAATAACACACAGGTTGAATTATTCATTTACTATATTGTTATCACACAGCATATTATAGTATTTTCTTAATGTATATTTTTTTTCACTTCTCATGAATGTACCACAAATGAAATTTATTTTCGTTGTCTTTTCCTACTTCTTAGCCTTTATCCATGCATTGTATTTTTGTATTTTTAATATTTTTACCTTTTTGTATACTTGTATTTTTTCTTTTCGAGCCTCGAGGTCTCGGCTCAAATAACGCAGAAGGTATTATTAAGATATCAATTTTTGAAAAGAAATAATACATCTAAGTTGTGTTAGACTATGTGAAAATATTAGAGAAAAAAACAGTCTGCTCATATGTACTGAATTAACCTGTCTGTCACTCTCCTGTATATTGTCATTACTGCCTTCAGCAATAGGTTTGGCATTTAGGATCAAAAGATGAGCCCGGTTCAAGAGTTCATAGCGAATGAAACAATAACACGATTTACCTGTTAAAGCCCACGGTCTTTATAAACTGTCACAAATTGACTCGGCAAATTGATAACTGTCTGGTTTAACTGTCTGGTTTAAAGTTCATGGAAGCTAAATTGCCTCACTTGCAACAAATGTAAGCATCATACGACTTTAAAGTTCATTCGCTTAAGAGACAAACCTTTAGATCTCTCTCTGCTTTTTGGACTAGAAACAAGGGCATCCTTGAATTTTACACATGGACATGCGTGACTTTAACCAAGGTCGTGCGTGTTCTTAAAACTCTGAGTATAAAAAGGCAGAAACCCTTGTATATTTTAATTGGAAGTCCAAAAGCAAGACAGATCGTCTGTTTGTATTTTACAGGTAAGAAATTTCTGTTTTGTTACTCACCCTTAAAGGTTAAAGCTTTCTGTGGTAACCAG